GTAGATTGTACTGTCTTTTATCCTCAGAGTAATATGGAACTGGAGTATGAAAAGGCACCTGTTCCATAGTGGCTGATCTAACCATTGTGAACAGTAGCTTTCTGTTCATTCATTATTTACAGTTCTATGTGTGCTGATACCCTCTGTACACTATCCTGTGCAAATTTATCTTCCTTTCCACATCCGTATACTTTCAGCCAAGTGCCGGTTTTTGTTATCTTCTCTCATATTTGTGGAATGTTTAAATTCCAGCATGCTGGAGATTTCTCAATCCTAATTATGTGGTAGTATTTCTCTTGTACAGATTCGTATGTAACACACTTTTAAATATCTTTGACAGAATTTGTTTTAGATTAAAAAAAGTAGGTGTTGGTTTATCAGATGGCATGTACAAATGCGATTGTCTCTCCGTGCAATGATTTTCTTTGTCGCTGTCAACGATTGAATGAAATGAGGAATGGAAAATTAGGTACTGACTCACCAAATAATGTGTGTGGACAGTCAAGGATGGTAACAAGAATTGATAAGGAAATGTTGTTGTGAAACTTCTTAGAAAGTGTACATGTAGAAGATAAAATAAGAGATAGCAGGTTTCTATATTTAAATGAATGAAAATACATTTTAAGGTTGTAAATTGGTAACAACCCTATAGTTCATAATGTAGGTACAAGTCACAGACTTTTTTTTTTAAGACACTTTGACTAGATATTTACAAGTCACAGACTTTTTTTTTAAGACACTTTGACTAGATATTAATACAAGGCACTGGTGAACGTCATAAATGTAGGACCAAAGGTTAGAATACCATCACAATACCACTTTTAATTGACAAGCACGGAAAGGAGGATGTAATTAAAGTTTCCATACCAGTATTACTCACTGCATATGTGCTGAGCCCTCATGTTTTGTAACAATTTCTTTCATATCTATATATTACTGATATGATAAAGTGCGGTTATAGTTCACCAAAAATATCTTCCCATTGTTGAAAAAAATTATTCACATGCCACATGGTTCACATGGTTGCTGGTAAAAAAAATAATATATTTAAATAATAGAATTTAAAATTTCAGCTGTCGAGTGAGCATGTGCTGAGTAATGAATCATGGTGCAGAAGGAATGCAAAATTTCATTGCGTGTGTGGACTGAGGAAGGCCTTGGATAGTCAGATTTCGAGCAAGCCTGCTCTAAAACACCGTAATTGTTACGCTGTTCTGATTATTCTACTTTCAGGACCTACTTTGGCAATAGTGGTGATATCACTGACTGGACAGATACTGAAAGCAGTGTCACCAAAATTTGGCAGCCTAGTGGCCGAGGAGGCAAACAGAAAAGGTTACCTGCGGCACATCCACGCCCGGATTATTACAAATGCTGAGGAGATTGCGTTCTATGGTGGCCAAAAGGTATTTATTATTACTACAATGCTAAGACTGCATGATCACTAGCAGTCATTATAAATGGATGTCATCTGTAGTTGAAATGACCAATTTCTTGTGTATGTGAACTGTCGTCACTGTTACATGAATTGCTGAACTTATAAATTGGTGAGGTACTCATTTCATTTGGTATTTTCAGGAGATGAGTATTTTGTCAGAAATGCGTATGCACCACACATACACATGATGAAAAGAATATAATATATGAATAATAATTGAAATCACTCAGGATTATGTTACATTAGTTCAGTGAATATGATATCGCATTGAATTACAGGTTGAGCTGAGTCAGCTGGAAAGGGCGTACGGTTCCCTTGTGGACCAGATGAACACAATCTTCTCCCAGCGACTATGGTATGTGATGCTGGAACAGTTCCTCATGAAGTATGTTTGGAGCAGTACGGGAATGATTATGGTGTCACTTCCGATCCTCACCAGTTCTCGCCGCGAAGGTGAACAGACATTTTAAATCTTGGTACAAATAATTTCAGGAAATGTCCATGACAGAATAAGCAACCAGAGTGTAACTGTTCTATTGAACACTGCATTATCAAAGCTATTTAAACCACAATGCGTTAGAAATTGGTTTTCCTTCTGTTTTCTTGTGACTGGTAGGAGGAAAAATACCTCTCTTTTCAGCTTCCTGGTCAAGGAAGTCTCGGACCTGCTG